ATTACTTTATTTTTCATACCCTCACTCTATGCCACAGCAATGCGTTTCCAGGTACAGCTAGTATAAAATATAATATAATATAATATAATATAATATATTATAATATAAAATACAATTATAATATAATATATAATATTATATTATAATAATATAATATATATTATATATTATATAATATAATATTATTATAATACTATTATATTATAGTATTGTATATTATATTATAATATAATATAATAATATTATAATATAATATATAATATAATATATTATAATAATATAATAATATAATATAATATAATATAATAATATAATATACAATAATATAATATACAATAATATAATATTATAATGCCACTCTATGCCACAGGAATGCGTTGCCAGGTACAGCTAGTATAAAATATAATATAATATATTATATAATATAAAATACAATTATAATATATAATATAATAATATTATTATAATATAATATAATATATATTATATATTATATAATATTATATTATTATAATACTATTATATTATAGTATTGCATATTATATTATATTATTTTATTTTATATTATATTACTATATTATTATTATAGTATATTATAATTGTATATTATAATATAATATAATATAATAATATTATAATATAATATAATATAATAATATAATAATATAAAGTAATATAATATAATAATATATAATATATAATATGATATATTATAATAATATAATATACAATAATATAATATTATAATAATATAATAATATAATATATATAATATAATATACAATAATATAATATTATAATATAATATACAACAATATAATATAATAATATTATAATAATATAATATAATATAGTTGTTTGTTTTATCACACACCAACAGTCAACAACAGAGGGAGAGGGAAGCTTCAGAAGTTCCCTCTGTCCCATTTGGAGGTTTTTTTAGCATATTGCGCAATTGCGTCCGCCATTAACGAATCGATTCGTAATTTTACAAAATTTCGTATACTTCAAAAAATTTTAAAGGAAAATTTCGGAATTCTTAAAAAAAAAAAACGAAACGCAAGGGCCCCCTAAAAACAAAACGAGTTTAGAACCAATTTTTTCCGTGGTTACCCAAGCCTAGTGGAAAGTCATGGAAGAAAATGCGAAAAACAAGGGGTAAAAGTCAATTTGCTGGCAGCTAACAACAAAGTTTGAGAAAACAGGGGAAAGGGCCTTCTTTCCTAACCAAGCGAGAAACAGGTAGACCTAAGGAACTTGCCAGGAGGCGTCATCATTTCTGAAACTGCCTAAACAGGTACCTGAGAGTGACACCCTGCAATTCAGCCTGACTTTACAGTCCTTGCGCCTTATTCCTTAATCCCAGATTAGGCCGGAGGGGAAGGGCAGGCTATTTATGATCCCTGAGGCTAGCAGCCGTTCTCTCTCTCTCTCTCTCTCCTGGCACAGGCTGGGCACCGGCTCCTGGCATGCCCACTTTTTAGGGAACAGGAAAAACCCAAATAATGATTCAATTCATTTTAGGGGCCTTGCACTGTGTCCACGTGCACCCCAAATCCTCTGGGGCAACATGAGAGGCTCGGAGGGGGCAGAGATTATTTTTAGGGTGGCATCATTAGCGTGGTATTATTCAGCAGCGTTATTAGGGTGGCATTATTCTGTGGCATCATCAAGGTGGTATTATTAGACTAGCATAATTAAGGTGGTATTGCTAAAATAGCATAATTGAGTTGGCATTCTTAGGATAGCATCCTTAAGGTGGTAGAATCATAGAATCAAAGAGTTGGAAGAGACCTCATGGGCCATCCAGTCCAACCCCATTCTGCCAAGAAGCAGGAATATTGCATTCAAATCACCCCTGACAGATGGCCATCCAGCCTCTGTTTAAAACCTTCCAAAGAAGGAGCCTCCACCACACTCCGGGGCAGAGAGTTCCACTGCTGAACGGCTCTCACAGTCAGGAAGTTCTTCCTCATGTTCAGATGGAATCTCCTCTCTTGTAGTTTGAAGCCATTGTTCTGCGTCGTAGTCTCCAGGGAAGGAGAAAACAAGCCTGCTCCCTCCTCCCTGTGGCTTCCTCTCACATATTTATACATGGCTTTCATATCTCCTCTCAGCCTTCTCTTCTTCTGGCTAAACATGCCCAGCTCCTTAAGCCGCTCCTCATAGGGCTTGTTCTCCAGACCTTTTATCATTTTAGTCGCTCTCCTCTGGACACATTCCAGCTTGTCAATATCTCTCTTGAATTGTGGTGCCCAAAATTGGACACAATATTCCAGGTGTGGTCTAACCAAAGCAGAATAGAGGGGTAGCATTACTTCCCTAGATCTAGACACTAGGCTCCTATTGATGCAGGCCAAAATCCCATTGGTATTATTAGGATGGCATCTTTAAGGTTACCACTTTAAAGATGGCATCCTAATTTATTTATTTTTTTGGTGTCAGGAGCAAACCTGAGAAACTGCAAGTCATTCCTGTTGTGAGAGAATTGGCCGTCTGCAAGGACGTTGCCCAGGGGACGCCCGGATGTTTTGATGTTTTATCATCCTTGTGTTTTATCATCCACATGAGGAGCTGGAGCTGGTAGAGGGAGCTCATCCGCCTCTCCCCGGATTCGAACCTGTGACCTGTCGATCTTCAGTCCTGCCAGCACAGGGCTTTAACCCACTGCGCCACCGGGGGCTCCAGGCATCCTAATAATACCACCTTAATTATGGTATTCTAATAATACCACCTTAATTGTTGTAGGTTTTTTTCGGGCTATATGGCCATGCTCTAGAGGCATTCTCTCCTGACGTTTCGCCTGTATCTATGGCAAGCATCCTCACTACCTCTGAGGATGCTTGCCATAGATGCAGGCGAAACATCAGGAGAGAATGCCTCTAGAACATGGCCATATAGCCCGAAAAAACCTACAACAACCCAGTGATTCCGGCCATGAAAGCCTTTGACAATACAATACCACCTTAATTTTTTTATTATTAGGGTGGTATCCTTAAGGTGGTATTATTAGGATAGCATTATTAGGGTGGCATCCTTAAGGTGGTATTATTAAAATAGCAATACTAGGGTGGCATCCTTAAGGTGATATTATTAGGATAGCATCATTAGGATGGTATTATTAGGATAGCATTATTTGGGTGGCATCCTTAAGGTGGTATTATTAGGATAGCATTATTAGGGAGGCATTCTTAAGGTGTCATTATTAGGATGGCATCCATAAGGTGGTATTATTAGGATAATATTAGGGTGACATCCTTACAGTGATATTATTAGGATAGTATCATTAGGATTAGGTTTACATTATTAAACTGGCATCCTAAAGGTAGCATTATTAAGGTGGTATTATTGGGATATTATTATTAGGATGGCATCCTTAAGGTGGCATTGTTAGGATAGTATCATTAAGATGGTATTATTAGGATATTATTATTAGAATGGCATCCTTAAGGTAGAATTATTAGGATAGCGTTATTAAGGTGGTATTATTAGGATAATAATATTAGGGTAGCATTATTAGGATAGTATCATTAAGATTGTATTTTTAAGATAGCATTATTAGAATGGCATCCTTAAGGTAGAATTATTAGGATAGCATTATTAAGGTAGCATCCTTAAGGTGGTATTATTAGGATAGCATTATTAGCATGACATAATTAGGATGGCATCCTTAAGGTGGCATTATTAGGATAGCATCATTAGGGTAGCATTATTAGGATGGTATCATTAAGATGGTATTTATTTATTTACGACATTTATATGCTGCCCTTCTCACCCTGAAGGGGACTCAGAGTGGCTTACAAGGTATATATTACATACAGCATTATTAGGATAGCATTATTAAGGTGGTATTATTAGGATAGCATCATTAATATGGCATCCTGAAGGTGGTATTATTAGGATAGTATTATTGGGGTGTCATCCTTAAGGTGGCATTATTAGGATAGCATCATTAAGATGGTATTATTAGAATAGCATTATTAGGGTGGCATTATTAGGACAGCATCATTAAGATGGTATTATTAGGATAGTATTATTAGGCTGGCATCTTTAAGGTGGTGTGCTTAGGGTGGCATTGTAAAGCGGTATGATTAGAGTGGCATTATTAGGATGGAACTATTAGGGAGGAATTATAAAGTGGAATTATTAGGATGGCAATATAAGATGGCAATATTCAGGTGGCATTACTGGGGTAGTATTGTGTGAGTAGAATGATAAAGTGGCATTATTGGGGTAGCATTCTTAAGGTGGTGCTCTTAGGATAGCATTTTTAAGGTGGTATTCTTAGGATAGCATTCTTAAGGTGGTATTGTTAGGACAGCATTCTCAAGGTGGTATTGTAGAATAGCATTCTCAAGGTGGTATTCTTAGGATAGCATTCCTAAGGTGGTATTCTTAGGATAGCATTCTTAAGGTGGTATTTTTAGGATAGCATTCTTAAGGTGGTATTGTTAGGATAGCATTCTTAAGGTGGCATTCTTAAGGTGGTATTATTAGGATAGCATTCTTAAGGTGATATTCTTAGGATAGCATTCTTACGGTGGTATTGTTAGGATAGCATTCTTACGGTGGTATTGTTAGGATAGCATTCTTAAAGTGATATTGTTAGGATAGCATTCTTAAGGTGATATTGTTAGGATAGCATTCTTAAGGTGGTATTGTTAGGATAGCATTCTCAAGGTAGTATTGTTAGGATAGCATTCTTAAGGTGGCATTCTTAAGGTGGTATTATTAGGATAGCATTCTCTAGGTGGTATTCTTAGGATAGCATTCTTAAGGTGGTATTCTTAGGATAGCATTCCCAAGGTGGTATTGTTAGGATAGCATTCTTAAGGTGGCATTCTTAAGGTGGTATTATTAGGATAGCATTCTTAAGGTGGCATTCTTAGTGTTCTGCAGGAAGTACAGTGAGGCCAGCAGGACGAGGCACGCCCCCAACCCACTCAGAGCGCGAACCCCCCTCCCGGCCCCCTTGGGAACTACAAATCCCACCGGCCCACCTCCTTGCGGCGGATCCTGCGGGCCAGCTCCCGGGCGGAGAGGAGGAGGAGCGGGTGCTGGGTCGGCGGGACCACGCGGCGGACTCTGCAGGGCGTGGTGGGCGTGGGGGGCGCTTGGGCCGCCTTGGAGGGCGGGGGCGAGGCCGAGACGGAGGCCAGCGAGGCGAGGGCGGCGGAGGCATGCGAGACCAGGCTGACCAGGCCCAGGTAGGCGAAGGAGAAGAGCCGCAGCGCCAGGACCAGCACGCGCTCCACCCGCGACAGCGCCATCGCCCTCCTGCTGCGCACCAGGGACTGAGCCACGCTCCGCGGGGAAGGACCGGGTGGAAGGGGCGGGGGCGGGGACAGCGCCTTCTCTTCCTCGAAAGGGCGTGGCCTCCGCTTGCCCCGCCCCTCAAAGCCTAGTCCCCTTCGAGGGGCGTGGCTTCGTTGCCACGCCCCCTCCAGGTAGAGCAAGAGATGTTAGTTAGGACACCTTACACACCTGTAAGTTTTGAGATGGTAGAACAGAAGCTCTCCGAAGCTCTAGGTCAGTGGTTCTCAACCTTCCTAATGGCGTGACCCCTTCATACAGTCCCTCATGTGGTGGTGACCCCCAACCATAATATTGTTTTCATTGCTACTTCATAACAGTCATTTTACTACTGTTATGAATCATAATGTAAATGTCTGATATGCAGGATGCATTTTCATTCACTGGACCAAACTGGGCACAAATACCCAATACACCCAAATGTGAATGCTAGTGGGGTTGGGGGAGGATTGATTTTGTAATTTGGGAGTTGTAGTTGCTAGGATTTATAGTTCACCTATAATCAAAGAGCATTCCGAACTCCACCAGCAAAGGATTTAAACCAAACTTGGCTCCCATGACCAATGGAAAACATTGGAAGGGTTTGATGGGCATTGACCTTGAGTTTGGGAGTTGTAGTTCACCTATATCCAGAGAGCACTGTGGACTCAAACAATGGTGGATCTGGACCAAACTTGGCATGAATACTCAATATGCCCAAATGTGAACACTGGTGGAGTCTGGGGAAAATAGATCTTGACATTTGGGAGTTGTAGTTGCTGGGATTTATAGTTCATTACAATCAAATAACATTCTGAACTCCACCAACCATAGAATTGGCTCAAACTTCCCACATGGAATCCCCATGATCATCAGAAAATACTGTGTTTTCTGATGGTCTTTGGCGACCCCTCTGACACCCCCTCGCGACCCCCTCAGGGTTCCCGACCCCCAGGTTGAGAAACACTGCTCTAGGTGCTCTTACTGCCTATTACAGGGAAAACCAGCTGATCCTCAACCCATCTAAAACACAGACATGTGCTTTTCACCTCAAGAACAGACAAGCATCCCAAGCTCTGAGGATTATTACCTGGGAAGGAATCCCACTGGAGCATTGCAGCGTACCCAAACACCTGGGAGTCACTCTGGACCATGCTCTCACCTACAAGAAGCACTGCCTGAACATCAACATAGGTAACTTGGACCCTAAACAGTTCTGGCCCAAGTTACCTATCCAAACGCATCTCCGCCTACAAACCCACTAGGACTTTAAGCTCTTCTGGGGAGGCCGTACTCTTGATCCCGCCAGCAACTCAGGCTCGTTTGGCGGGGACGAGGGATGGCCCCTCTCAGTGGTGGCCCCTCGGCTGTGGAATGCCCTCCCCACAGATATTAGTTCGGCTCCCTCACTTCGGAAGAAAGTAAAAACTTGGTTATTTGAACAGGTGTTTGAATAGGCAGTGCAATGAATTACAATGAATAATAGGAAATCGGATTAACGGATGACGAACTTGGATTATGATTTCAGTTATGAGACGCTAATGAGTCACTTATTGGTGTGATTGATGTTTATTGATGTTAACTGCTTAGTGTATTACTGCCTTAACTGTTTTTATATGGTTTGTATGTTGTTAGCATTGAATCTTTGCTGCTGTTTGTTGTCAACCGCTCTGAGTCGCCTAAGGGCTGAGAAGAGCGGTATACAAATAAAGTAAATAAATAAATAAATAAAGCAAAAAGTGGGTGCTAGAAACAATATCAAGCTGACTGGTACAACCTGGGGATCACAACCAGACACAGTGAAGACATCTGCCCTTGCACTATGCTACTCTACTGCTGAGTATGCATGCCCAGTGTGGAACACATCTCACCACGCTAAAACAGTAGATGTGGCTCTTAATTAGACATGCCGCATTATCACAGGGTGTCTGCTGGAGAAACTACCCTGTCTACCCAGTATTGCACCACCTGACATCCGCCGGGAAGTAGCAACCAATAGTGAAAGGACCAAGGCAGAGACATCTCCAGCTCATCCCCTCTTTGGGTATCAGCCAGCACGTCAACGACTAAAATCAAGAAATAGTTTTCTTAGATCTACAGAGACACTTGCTGGAACACCTCAGCAAGCGAGGGTCCAAAAGTGGCAGGCTCAAACCCAGAACCTCAACCAATGGCTGATACCCAATGAGAGACTCCCCCCTGGGCACACAGAAGACTGGGCGACTTGGAAGGCACTGAACAGACTGCGCTCTGGCACCACGAGATGCAGAGCCAATCTTCAGAAATGGGGCCACAAAGTGGAATCCACGACGTGCGATTGTGGAGAAGAGCAAACCACAGACCACCTGCTGCAATGCAACCTGAGCCCTGCCACATGCACAACGGAGGACCTTCTTGCGGCAACACAGAGGCACTCCAAGAGGCCAGATACTGGTCAAAGGACATTTAACCAACTACCAAGTTTGAAAAATCTGTGTTTTTTTTTAATCTCTGTGTTTGTTTTGTTCTGTTAGAAATGTAATACAATGGTATGGTTGCCCCTGACACGATAAATAAAAAAAAACCTATAATATTGATAACATTATAATGTAATACAATCTAATAGTGATAATAATACAGTAAAATCATTATCTATTTCACATTACATGTAATATTATTGATAATATTACAGTATAGTGGTCAAGTACAACATAGTAATATGTAATACTAATATTTAGCTGTCCTAATAATATAATATATTGTATAGACATATAATATTAATAATGTTATAATGTAATACAATATGATACTAATAGTAATACAATATAACCATATATTTTATATTACATGTAATATTACTATTAGCAAATAGTGGTATAGTATAATATGAGAATATATGGTACTAATATTGTGCTATGCTAATAATATAATATACTAGCTGTCCCCTGCCACGCATTGCTGTGGCCTAGTCTGGTGATCTGGAAAATAAAGTAATGAGAAAGTGTTGGTTTCTAATATATGTAATTCCTTTATGCTTGTGAGTAAACAGTATTTCTTGCTGTTACTTTGTCAGTGTTGATGTGGAGAGTGTCTGGTTGCCCACCCTGGAACATGCAACATATCATAGTCCTTCTTTAAGGGTCTCTTTCAAATCTATGATACTATATCTGTGTCTATCTCTAACTCTATGGCTGGATGGTTCTTTGTCAGGAGGGCTCTGATTACATTTTCTTGCCCTGGTGAAGAGAGTTGGACTGGATGGCCTTAAGTATTTTCTGTTGGTCATGGGGGTTCTGTGTGGGAAGTTTGCCCCATTTCTGTTGTTTGTGGGTTTCAGAATGCTCTTTAATTGTAGTGAACTATAAATCCCAGTAACTACAAATCCCAAATGTCAAGGTCTATTTCCTCCAAACTCCATCTGTGTTCATATTTGGCATATGGAATATTTTTGTCAAGTTTGGTCCAGATCCATCATTGTTTGAGTCCACAGTGCTCTCTGGATGTAGGTGAACTACAACTCCCAAACTCAAGGTCAATGTCCACCAAACCTTTCCAGTTTTTTCTGTTGGTCATGGGAGCCCTGTGTGCTAAGTTTGGCCCAATTCCATCATTGGTGGAGTTCAGAATGCTCTTTGATTGTAGGTAAACTATAAATCCCAGCAACGACAATTCCCAAATGACAAAATCAATTTTTTTGAGTGGAGGACATAAATTGGACTGTTAGGTGTCTTGTGTCCAAATTTGGTGTCAATTCCCCCAGTGGTTTTTGAGTTCTGATGGTAGCACGAACTAACATTACATTTTTATTTATATAGATATATATGTATGTATGTATGTATGTATGTATATTTGTATATTTGTATATATGTGTATATATGTGTGTTTGCATATATATGGTTTTGTGCATGCGTTGTAATGTTTTGTTTTGGTTATTTGGCTTTTTAAGTGTCTTCTGCTGTGTTTTTCAGGGTTTTTATGAGTCATGGTCACTTGTTGGCCTGATAGGTGTTATTGCGTCCAAATTTGGTGTCAATTCGTCAAGTTTGGATTTACTAAGTTTTATAGTAATAGTAGTAGTAGTAGTAGTAGTAAAATAATAACAATAATAATACTTTATTGATAACCCATCCAGATTTGCACATGTCCTTGATATTGAGCTAGAATTTGGAGGCTCCCGCCCAGGAGAGGGGAGCCCACAGACCCACCAACAAGAGTCCAGTACTCTGGCAAGCAAAAGAGAGACCCAAAAGAATTTTCCTTGATTTTTCCCAAATAAAGCTCAGCAAAGTTAAAGAGAAGCCACCGAGTTGTTTTATTGCCTCTCAGCTGGTACAGATGTCAAACCGCAATAATTTGTCAGGAAGACATACATTCAACACATTGCAGTACATTTTTATAGAGTAAAAACGGGGCGGTCAACTTTGAATTTCCCGCTCCCGCCTCCCTAGCTGGCTTGGAGCTGATTGGCTGGTGTTAACAGCTGGAGGAGAGGCTCGCCTGCCTCAGCCAATCAGAGTGCCAGCGCCGCTTTGGCTTCTGAGCCAATGGGAATTGAGGAAGCGGTACAAGCAGGAAACAAAGAACCGAGAGGAATAATGAGTGGATTAAATGTGCCTAAATGGCTTGTCCGATGGCCGGCGATAATCCGGGGATTCCTCAAGCTGGCCGGTTATTGTCTTGAGGGGGCAAAATGTGCAAAAAAGTGGCTGGCGCGGTTGCCCAGCCTTGATAAATTTCAGTCTTGGATATGGGATCCATTGATGTTATCAGTGTGTTGGTTTCAGCCAAAGGGGGACAAAGACAATGGATGAGGTGGATGGGACATCCAGATCTTCCCTGAAGGCAGGATGTCCCATTGTTGATGAGTGACCGGGTTCACCATGAGGTGCCTTCCTGGGCAGCCATGTTCCGAGGCCCAAGATGCACCATTGTTATTTTCATGCAATAAGTCTTTGTTGGAGTCCTTAAGTCAATGGGGAATTCATCTCAGGAAATAGGAAGGAATTTCACGAGGGTTTGTCATGCTGGAGTCACGAAAAGGTGACTTCCCATATTTTATACATAGACACATACATGGGA